GGGGTGCGAGAGGTCTTCCACTCGCCCGATCTAATACAAGGGGCGGCCGGGTGGGGGAAAGGAGGGGAAGGTGAGTAATTTGTTGATTGGTCTATTGGGTTACCGCGTGAAGAAGGTGGAGGTGCGTTGGGGCCTTCCTTCGTGGATGTCTTCTTTGGTCGAGGGTCCAGCACGGGGTCCTCGGCCCCCTTCCAGGGGAACAGCGCGAGAGAGAGAGAGAGAGAGAGAGAGAGAGAGAGAGAGTAGGAGGAGGGGGGCTAAGAGCAGAAAGCACGCGGCAGAACCAGACGGGCAGATCGGGCGGGTAGACCCTAACAGACGAGTCGGGAAAGCGGGCCCAGACGGCCATGTCGAGCAGGCGGGTTGCTGAGGCGCGTGCGCTGCATGAATAGCGAGGAAGTCTCGAGCGATAGCGCGGTTCCCAAGTAAATCGTGAGATGCGCCAGAGCGAGGGCGTTAATTCCGAGTGTCGAGGGCGCGGCGATTGAACCTATGAGAGGCAGTCCCACGCGAGAGCGCGATCTCTAAATAAAGTCATGAAGGTCCCGCGCGAGGGCGCGATTTGGGAATGCACTGTGAGGAAATAATTATCAGGCGGGGGCCGTTGTTGTTGTTGTTGTGGATGTTGGTGTTGTTGAACATTATTTATTCTAAAGAATAATTATTGTTGGGCCCCCTGGTGCGCGCCCCCCCTGCGCCGCCTAGGCCGCAGCTACATTTTCATCATTTGCGTGAGGAAGCCTCAGAAAAGAGGGTGTGTACAGGATCCGGTTGTTTTGTTGTAATCCGCTTTCCCTTGCAAAAAACAATAGAAAATGACATTTCTTGTTCTAATATAATCAAATTTCAAGAATCCCTTGCAAAAAATAAGGTAAAGTGGACATTCGCGCGCGCAAGACGAAATCCTTCCAAAACCTTAGTGTTCGCAGCGATTTTAACATAAAAACATCAAAAAACCAATGGTTTTTCAACAAAAAAATGTCAAAATCTCATCCCGCGCGCTCTTGCGGATTCGTAGGAAACCCAACACTTTTTAAACATTTCTGTCAAACGGGCTTTTGCGAGCAACTTTTTCGAACTTCTGCGACAACGGTTGCGCACCTGCCAGGGCCATCATCCCTGTCAAATAATACCATGCGGGACACATTCGTTTTTTCTTCGCGCGCGCACGCCGTCGTCGTCGGCCGCGGGGCCCTGAATAGTAGCCACGGTCGTCCGCATGCCACGAAGTGAAGTGTCCGAACGTCATAGGGCGGGAAGCTGGGTGTGGGTGGTGGCGAAGAGTCGTTTGGAAATTTGGTAGAGCTTGAACCGGCCCCCCCACAAAGTGGGGGTATTGCCCGCCTCCTATGAAAACCCTGGCACTGGTGAGAACGGAGTGTCCCCACGTGCTAGTAATTGTTGTTGTTGTTGTTGTTGTTGTTGTTTTTTAATTCGGGGGCTCGGAGCTCAGTCGTGTGACCCCCAACTTTCCCTTGGAAGTAACAACTCTCACATCAATTGAAGAAAAAACGCATTGTGGCCCAGAGGGGGACCAACAGTCATTATTTCCAGTAGTGGGAGTTCAGGAATCATTTTCAGAGTTTCGCTCCTATCTGATCGCGTGCCATCCAGTCCCAATGTTTATCCCAAGCTCCCCGTACCCGCTCTCTTAGTAACCGGTTGTGCCCCACTTGGGGGTCTGTCTTTCTTGCCTGCAACGTGTATTTCGTGCAGCCTCTCAGGCCGGGGAGGAGAGGACGGATGGAAAGAAGGGACAATGGGGAGGGAGGAGGATGAAACACCAGAGAGAGTAGCTGGAGAGGGGGCGAGGAGCAGAGTGCACGGGCAGAACGTATCAGGCGGGAGCCGTTGTTGTTGTTGTTGTTGTTGTTGTTGTTGTTGTTGTTGTTGTTGTTGTTGTTGATGTTGTTATTGTTGTTGTTGTTGTTGTTGTTGTTGCTGTTGTTGCTGTTGCTGTTGTTGTTGCTGCTGTAAATTGGAGATTGGGGTCAAGGGCGCAGTTTCGTGACATGCAATTTCCCTTGTAAAAAAGTGTGCGAGCCTCGCGACAAACACTTCACTCGAATAGATACAGAGGTAACTGGGCAGAGGGGGACCAAACATCGGCCGAAGGGCCCGAGCGAGAGCGGGCAGTGGCAGCAGGCTCCGATTGTTGGGTAAACTCCGAGGATTAACGCACACGTGTTGCAGCACAACGTTGTGTGCGTTTGGATTATGTTCTAGCCCTCTCGGGCTCTCTCCGCAGGGCCCCCCTCCAAGTTTAGCCAGACAAGAGCTATTTTTATATCAGAAATACGAATCCAAGAACAATCATGTTACTACTGTTCGTTCTTATCTGTTCGCGTGCCATTCGACACGTATATTCCAAACCGTCGGTGCCCGCCCCCTTCGCCTTCGATCGTGCCCCACTTCGGGGTATATCTTTCTTACCTGCAACGTGACTATCGTGCAGCCCCGTAGGCAGGGGAACATAGAACGGATGGAAGGAACGGACAAGTGTGAGGGAGGAGGATGGAGCAGTAGAAAGATTGGCAGGAGGGGGGCCTGACGGGCAGATCGGGCGGGCCGGGAGGCGGGCCCAGGCTGCCAGGTCGAACAGGTGGGTTGGTGAAGCGTGTGCCTTGCATGAATCGCGAGGAAGTCTTGAGCGACAACGCGACTCCCGAATAGGTCGTGTGACAAGCCAAAGCGAGAGCGCGATTCCTGAGTGTCGAGGGCGCGGCGTGCGAATGTACTGCGGGGAAGTCCCACGCGAGAGCACGATTCCTGCACACATTGCGAAGATGTCCCGCACGAAAGCGCGAATTTGGAATATATTGTGAGGACGTATCAGGCGGGAGCGGCTGTTGCCGTAAACTGGGGGCCGGGGGCGCAGATCGGTGACACCCCGCTTCCCCTTGTCCAAAAAACGAGGTGCGCGACCCGGGAGAAGCATCCGAATTGAAAAATCCTCGTTGCCGGCGAGGGGGGATCAGCAGCATTTGTTCAGAAATGCGAATTCAAAAACAACAGCGCCAACAACAGCAGCAACAACAACAACAACGACATCAACATCAGCACCGGCAGCACCAGCAACAACAACAGCACCCGCAACAACAGCACCAGCAACAGCAGCATCATCAACATCAACAATCATGCTAATCTTCTTCGCTCTTCGTGGCTCGCGTGCAATAGAGCATGTGTGTCCCAAACCCTCGGTACCCTGCCTTTTGTCGTCTTCAATCGTACCCGCCGGGGGGCATGTCGTCGTTACCTGCCGCGCGTAATTGGCACTGCCACTGAAGCTGTAGAAGAGGGGACGCATGAAAGGGGGGAGGGAGAAGGATGGAGCAAGGGATTAGCAGGGAAGGGGCTAGAAGCAAAAAGTGGGTGGACAGGCTGACCGGGCGGGCAGACCCAAACGGGCGGGTCGGGAAGGCTTGCGCAAGCGGCCAGGTCGAGAAGGCGTGTTGCTGAAGCGTGAGTGCTGCATGAGTCGCGAGGAAATCTCGAACGATATCGCGATTCCCAAGTACATCGTAAGAAAAACTTCAGCGAGAGCGTGATAGTGTCGAGGCTCGGCGACTGAATCAATTGTGATGACGTCCCACGCGAGAGAGCGATTCCTTCATACATTGATGGAATCCCGCGCGAGGGCGCGATTCGGGAATACATTGTCAGGCGGGAGCCGTTTGTTGTTGTAACTCGGGGGCCAGGGGCCCAGTTTGGTCACACCCAATTTTCCCTGATCAACAACAGGGTGCGAGCCCTGGGGGGAGCACTTCAATTTAGAAAAAACCATGTGCACGGGAGGGCGGGGATCAACAATAGTTATTCTTTAGAATTGAGAACTCATCAACAACAACATCACCAACAACAGCAACACTAGCCACGACAACAACAGCAACAATAACCACCATCACCACAACAACAGCAACAACAACACCAGCAACAGCAACAGCAACAGCAACAACAACAACAACAACAGAAGCAGCAGCAGCAACAGCAACGACAGCCGCAACAACAACAGCAGCAGCATCAGCAACAACATCAACAGCAGCAGCAACAACAATAATCCGCACCGCGGAACCCCACTTCGGCTCCCTCGATCTGATATGTGTTGTCGAAGCTGGGCGTACTCTGGCGTCCCTCTGAATCCTTTTTGTCTGGAGGTCACCTGGGCTACTCCGTGCTGGTGGCTCCTTCATCGTGCCTAATATCCCCGAGCGGTTCTCGCGAAGACCTCTCTTCAGTAGGCTCCCGGCCTTCCTCGGTGGACCGCGTGTCCGGTCGTCCTCCCTGCGCGCGACCCCGTGACGGCGCACCAGTCCGTGAGGCCTGGCAGGCGAGGGCGAGCACGGGCCAGGCGCCCGCCTCCGCCAGTTCGCCCGCGCTCCCGCCGCCCGCAGCCCGCCGCCGCCTAACCCCAACCCTCCTCTTGCTTCCTCCTTTTCTGCGCAGGCCGCTAGGCGATCACACCTGTAGCGTCAGAGAGGGCCTGCAGGTGGCAGGCAGGCAAGGGCAGGCGCCTTGTCTGTGTTCCAGAAGGCCTTCGAAATACAGGCGGGAGCACGGCAACGCGAGAAACAGTGAAGGTCGCTCGACCAGGTCGTTGAGGTACAAGGACAACTAGGCTAGTCCTGAGGGCCTGGAAGACGGGGAGGACCTGGTCGAGCGAGAAGGGCGGCGCCTCCAGGAGCACCGCGGAGGCCCCCCCCCTGCAAGTACAGGCGGCCAGCAGGCCGACACCACGCGAGGTGGAGCAAGGAGCAGCAACGATGATGGTGGAGACGAGGCGGGGGAGGCTGGACAGAAGCATGGGTGCGGGAGCGAGGGGAGCCCATTACGCCAAGCTCATTCGCTCCGCCTCCGCACCGCCCCCACTAGCTCGCCTCGCGCGTCTAGTAGGCCACGAGAGATCGGCAGCTGCCACGGCACGCAAGCAAGCAAGCAACATCATCTCATAACATCCTGATCTCCTCCTCCTCCTCCTCCTGGGGAGCGGCGTCCCGCCTCAGGACGTCACGGACCTCTTCGGCATGAGGAGCCGGGAGCTGAAGGCGACGCAGCGCGGGCCTCGCCTCTCGGGGGCCCGACCCCTCTGGGGAGCAAAGGGAGGAGGAGGAGGAGGAGGAGGAGGAGGAGGAGGAGGAGGAGGAGGAGGTGGACGTGGACGTGGACGTGGACGTGGAGGTGGAGGTGGAGGTGAAGGTGGAGGAGGAGGTGGAGGTGGAGGTGGAGGAGGAGGTGGAGAGGAGGAGGAGGAGGAGGGAGGAGGAGAGGGTGGTGAAGGAGATGATGGAGGAGAGGAGGACAAGGAGGAGGAGGTGGAGGCGGAGGAAGAGGAGGAGGAGGTGGCCGTGGAGGAGGAGGTGGAGGTGGATGTGGAGGTAGACGTGGAGGAGGAGGAGGAGGAGGAGGAGGAGGAGGAGGAGGAAAAGCGGAGGCATGAAAAGGAGGTGGAAGAGGAGGTGGAGGATGAGGAGGAGGAGAAGGAGGAGAAGGAGGAGAAATGGACGGACGGGACGTGGAGATGGAGTTGGAGGATGAGAGGAGGAGAGGAGGAGGAGGAAGAGGAGGAGGAGGAGGAGTGGAGGGATGAGGAGGATGAGGAAGAGGAGGTGAAGGACGAGGAGGAGGAGGAGGAGGAGGAGGAAGAGGCGAGGAGGAGGAGGGAGGAGGAGGAGGAGGAGGAGGAGGAGGTGGACGTGGAGAAGGAGGAGGTGGAGGGGGATGTGGAAGAGGAGGAGGAGGAGGAGAGGGAGGAGGAGGAGGAGGAGGAGGAGGCGGAGGAGGTGCACGTGGAGGTGGAGGTGGATGTGGAGGAGGAGGAGGTGCACGTGGAGGTGGAGGAGGAGGACCAGTGTAAACCCAAGAGTCATCAACGATGTTGGACTTAACCCTCCCTCCAAGCTCCCTTCTCATAGGCCCTTACAACGGTTTCATTTCATTGAGGGAACTGCCTCGTTGGAAGACAACCATTCGAAGATCCCGAAGCATGCCAAACCATTGTTCTCGGGGTTTGAAAGAGCGTGTTCTACCGCTGCTGGCGGAAAACCGGGGGGGGGTCACTACCGGTTCGAACCCCTCCCCCCCCCCTCTCCAGAAAACCGGGGGGGGGTCACTACCGGTTCGAACCCCCCCCCCCCCTTCCAGTTCATTATGAAAAGGCGGGGGTCACTACCGGTTCGAACACCCCCCCCCCTTCGAAAACCAGGGGGGGTCACTACCGGTTCCACCCCCCCCCCCTGCTCGAAAACTCAGGGGGGGTCGGACAGTGGTGGGGACGGTGGTGGTGGGGACAGTGGTGAGGGGACAGCGGGACACTGGTGGGGACAGTGGGACAGTGGTGGGGACAGTGGTGAGGACAATGGTGGGAACAGTGGGGACAGTGGACAGTGGTGGGGACGGTGGTGGTAGGGACAGTGGTGTGGGGACAGGGGGAGGTGGAAACAGTGGGACAGTGGAGGGTACAGTGGTGGTGGGGACAGTGGTGAAGGCGGTGGCGAGGACGGCGGTGGGACAATGGGACAGAGGTACAGTGGGGACAGTGGTGGGGACAGTGGGGACAGTGGTGGGAACAGTGGGACAGCTCAGTGGGACAGCGGAGGAGTCAGTGGGACAGTGGGGACAGTGGGGATAGTCGGGCAGTGGTTGGGGCCGTGGAGAAAGTGGGGAGAGTGGAACCGTGGTGGGAACAGTGGTGGGGACAGTGGGGACAGTGCGACAGTGGTGGGAGCACTGGTGGGGACAGTAGGGACGGTGGTGGAACCAGTGGGGACAGTGGTGGTGAGGACAGTGGTGCTGGGAACAACAGTGGGGGATGTGGCGCGGACGGTGGTAGGGACCGGGAGTCGTTTGCTGGCGGTGGGGGGGGTGGGGAGGGTTCGAACCGGTAGTGACCCCCCCTCCGGTTTTGAGGGGGGGGCGGGGGGGTTCGAACCGGTAGTGACCCTCCCCTGGTTTTCGAGGGGGGGGGGTGGGGGGGGGAGGGGTTGGGGGGGTGTGCGGGGGAGGGGAGGAGGGGGGGGGGTGGGGGTCCAGCAGGGGGGGGGATTTTCGGAGAGGGGGGGGAACCCAGGGCTCCGGAGGAAGAGGGGGGCAATTTTCCACAGTAAAGCGGCGGTGGATCACGCTCTTTCCGGGATTTCAACGCCACGTTTCAACCTGACTGTTCTCGGGATTTCAACGCCACGTTCTTGAAATCGCGCCATAACGCCTGCTTTTGGATTTCAACACCGCGAATCAACATAATTGTTGCGCCCACATAATCCTGAATCCTTCCAACACACCATTTCTGATGCGTTGATCATGGGAATCCGTGAAACCCTTACACACGTTTAAACCGAATGTGCGCGGCGCTATGGCGAGAGCCACAGTTTGAAAACCACCCGGCCTCGCTCCGTGAATCTCTTGCAATTTTTTGCAAAGAATGCGCGCGGCGCTGAGGCGAGAGCCACATTTTGACAACGGCCCGCCCTCAATCCGTGAAACCCGTACATTTTTACAGCGAATGTGCGCGGCGCTGAGGCAAGAGACACATTTTGAAAACCACCCGCCCTCAATCCGTGAAGCTCTTGCAACGTTTTACAAGGAATATGCGCGGCGCTAAGGCGAGAGCCACATTTTGAAAACCATCCGCCGTCAATCTGCGAATCTCTTGCAATGTTTTATTAAGAGTGTGCGCGGCGCTATGGCGAGTGCCACAGTTTGAAAACGGCCCGCCCTCAATCGGTGAAGCCCTTGCAATATTGTGCAAAGAATGCGCGCGGCGCTAAGGCAAGAGCCACATTTTGAAAACCACCCGCCCTCAATCAGTGAAGCTCTTGCGATGTTTTACAAATAATGTGCGCGGCGCTCAGGCGAGAGTCACATTTTGAAAACCACCCGCCCTAAATCCGTGAAGCTCTTGCAATGCTTCACAAAGAGTGCGCGCGGCGCTATGGCGAGAGCCACAGTTTGAAAACGGCCTGCCCTCAATCGGTGAAGCTCTTGCAAATGTTGAACGCGAATGTGCGCGGCGCTAAGGCGAGAGCCACGTTTTGAAAACGACCCGCCCTCCATCTGCGAAGCGGTTGCCACTCTTCAAGCTTCAGAGCCACCAATGGTGAGGAAGTCTCAGGCGAAGCACCCGGCCCGCACCAAAAACGAGCCTAGGGGTGCGACAGGGAGGAGTTATCTATAAGGAGCAGAAATGGAGGAGGAGGAGGAGGATGAGGTCGATGATGATGATGCTGCTTATGATGATGATGGTGGTGATGATGCTGATGCCGATGCTGATGCTGATGCAGATGATGATGATGATGATGATGATGATGATGATGATGATGATGATGATGATGATGATGATGATGATGATGATGATGATGATGATGATGATGTTGATGATGTTGATGATGAGGATGGGGGTGAGGATGCTGATGGTGATGATGATGATGATGCTGATGATGATGACGAGGAGGAGGAGGACGCGGAAGAGGAGGAGGAGGAGGCGGAGAGGAGGGATGATGATGATGAGGAGGAGGAGGAGAAGGATGAGGAATAATAGGAGGAGGAGGAGGAGGAGGAGGAGAGGAGGAGGAGGAGGAGGAGGAGGAGGACGAGGAGTAGGAGGAGAGGAGGAGGAGGAGGAGGAGGAGGGGGAGGAGGTGGAGGAGGAGGACACGGAGGAGGAGGAGGAAAGGGAGGAGGAAAGGGAGGAGGATGAGGCGGAGGAGGAGGAGGAGGAGGAGGAGGAGAAGGAGGAGGAGGAGGAGGAGGAAGAGGAGGAGGAGGAGGAGGAGGAGGAGGAGGAGGAGGAGTTGTAGGAGGAGGAAAAGGAGGAAGAGAAGGAGGAGGAGGAGGAGGTGGAGTTGGAGGTGGAGAAGATGATGATGATGATGATGATGATGATGATGATGAGGAGGAGGAGGAGGAGGAGGAGGAGGAGGAGGAGGAGGAGGAGGAGGGAGGAGGAGGAGGAGGAGGAGGAGGAGGGAGGAGGAGGAGGAAGAGGAGGAGGATGAGGAGGAGGAGGAGGTGGAGGAGGAGGAGGAGGAGGAGCAGGAGGAAGAGGAGGAGGAGAGGAGAGATGAGGAGGAGGAGGAGGGAGGAGGAGGAGGAGGAGGAGGGGAAGGAGGAGGAAGTGTCGTCGTCGGCGTCGGCGCTGGCGTCGGCGTCGGGGGAGGGGGAGGAGGAGGAGGAGGAGGAGGAGGAGGAGGAGGAGGAGGAGAGGAGGAGGAGGAGGAGGAGGAGCAGGAGGACAACGGGGAGGAGGAGGAGGAGGAGCAGGAGGAAAAGGAGGATGGAGGAGGGGGAGGAGGAGGAGGGGGAGGAGGCGGAGGAGGAGGAGGAGGAGGAGGAAGCGGAGGATCAGGAGGGAGGAGGAGGAGGAGGAGGAGGAGAAGGAGGAGGAGGAGGAGGAGGAAATGGAGGAGAAGCAATCGTGGGCTCAGCGATCGCATGCCCCCGCCGCGGGCGCCGTCTCGGGATGGCATCCGCCGTGCGTGCGGCTAGAGGGAGCCCGCTCGCGGCTGCCGACGCCGCCCTCCTCGTGAAAACTGCGGTCGGCGCCGCGATTCGCGCCCCGTGCCGCACCGCCGCGGCGGTGGCGCGAGCAGCCATCGCGGCGGCCGCCTGTGCTTTGGCGGCGCCACGGCTGCGGGACGATCAGAGGCGCCGCGCGCCGACTCGGAGGCGAAGCAGGCGCGCCGCCGCCGCCGCCGCCGCCACCGCCTGCGCCTCGCGGAGCGGCGTGCGGCCGTGCGAGGCGTTGGCCCGCGCGCTCCCGAAACTGGTGCGTGTGGTGCCGACCTTCAGTTCAACGGCGACGACGACGACGACGACGACGACGACGACGACAACGAGGACGACGACGACGACGACTCGGGGGCGGCCGCGCGCGAGGGGCCGCTGAAGGGCCCGAGCCGTTTCAGGAAGCGCGCGTTTGCTCCAGACGGCCGCCCCCAGCCACCAGCCGCCGCGGCGATCGGCTGGTGCCGCCATTCCTCCCCGTGCTGAGCCCGCGTGGCACAGACGGGCCCGCTTCAAGCGCCAGCAGGCGCGGAAGGTCATCGCAGCA